CGCGCAATGTCGAAAGAAATTGCGAACGCGAAATTGCGTTTCCCACCGCAGTGGAATTCTTGCAGACGATGGACCGCGCCGGTTATCGGCGCGGAACGCGAATTAAAAACCCGATACACGAACGGTTTCGGGATTGTTCGAAATACGCATTGTACGCGGTTTACGCGTTGTGTACACGCTGCGCGCACATCCCCTCAATCTTTTCTAACTCGATTTTCCTGACCTAATCCTCCTGCTACCGATGTATATTGTTCTTTTAACTCTCTCGCGGCAACCATTGCATTTCGCTCGGTTTATGATTTTCACGGTTTTGGTTTTTAGTCGTAGTCGTTTTAGGCGCAGAGAGAGAGAGAGAGAGAGAGAGAGGTGGACGCTATTGGGGGAGAGGGGGAGGACTGGTCGTCGAACGAGAGAGCGGATTGAAACCGCCGAAAAAGCCAAAAATGAAAACCTAAATTCGCGGCGTTCGCCGCAACGCGACAATTTTCCTTGCCTCGACGATCGATCTGGCGAATAACGGAGTGTCCAACCTTTCGAGTTTTTCCGTCTACGCCTATTTTATCTCTCGTAGAAAAAGAGAGAGAGAAAAAAAGAAAAGGAAATAATAGACTTACTGCTTTACACGGTTTACACGGTAGAAATCGAACCGTGGAAATCCCTGGTACAATTCCAACACCACCCTCCATTTATTATTACTCGAGAAACTCACAGTGGCGCATGACGGATTAAACGTCAGAAATCTGAAGATCCTTCTTCCACGGTCACCCCCGCTGAGAGTTTTCCCAAAACCTGTCGCGAAATCCTTGCCAACAATACCGACGCCTCTCGCGCGACACCACCCGTGGCTACCGTACCCCAAACAACCTTTTCTTCCACGATTCACAACGCGGAAAACATTCGGTTCCGTAATCTATGGCCACAGGATCGCTTTGGATTCCTTTCAACCTCCCTCTCTCTCTCTCTCTCTCTTTCTCTCTCTCCATTTCGCACCTCGCGATCCTCGCGTTCGCAATGAACGAATTACCGGCCGACCGCCGAGGGAATCGCTTGAGAGAAAAATTGGAGCGGATTTTCGTCGGCGTGCAAACGGTCTCAATAGCGGACAACAACGAAATTAGACTTATCTCGGTCATCGGGGGCCGGCATGCAGCTGCCGGAGGATCCACGTGAATAGGCCGGCCTAGTTTTTCCTTTATTATGCGTTCGTTTTCGAGGACTCGATTTGCACGAACGGTTCGTTCTCGTCCATCCAGGATCACGGTTGCTCCTTTCGACGTTGGTCCTTTTGGCGTCGGACACGCGCCATTGTGAATCACGCCCGATCGTTCGCCTGATCGCCGATCCTTGAAGAAGACGGTACGACAATGAGGATTTCGATGGAGCCGAAGTTTTTCCATATACTCGGGATCTCTCGGCAATTTCGGAGGAGACACGATCTCGTTCCCTTTTATTGGAGGATGAATGGGAGATCTTGTAACGCATTTTGGATATTCTATGAAATTCCTTTATACGGGAAGATTACATTGAGATATATCGCGGGGGATCGTCCCTGACTGAAAAATGGGCTAATGATGGGCGCTTTGTATATTTAGTTATTTTGTAATAACGAGTGTACAAACGGAGTTACTTTCTTCTGAAGCTTCGCGAGGGAAAGGATGAAAAATTTTCTTTGATCGAGAACGCTCGCGCCTGCTCTTAAAAATAATACTAACTGTCGTTTTTACTATATAAATCAAGAGAATTTTAAATACATCTTTCTCACTGATAGAACGTTAAACGTTCATCGATCATAATTCATCGTAATCTTTCACGTTTCTCGATTTCAACTCGACGAGGCAGCAAAGCAAATAGTTATTGTTCGTTACAAGAGGACAGGAAAATTGCACGGAATTGGAGAGGGTTCCGTTATCGAGGGAAAATCGGTTCGACGATACGAGCTGAGCTGCTGCTGCTGGCCAAACACAGGTCGAAACAGTTTAACCGGGGTCTACCTGAGTCTTTCGAGAGCAATCCTGCCAGATACGGCGTTTCGAATCCCTTGAGCGCTCGGCCGAAGAAGGATCAACGCTCGGGAAATTAGCTAAAACTGGAGCTAAGTGCTCGAACCGGGCCAGCCACGAAATAAACGCGTCGATCTAGCAACGTTTCGGGCTCCCATCGACAGATATTTATCGCGTTAAATGGGATCCGGTTAAATGCAACTTGCGATCTGATTCCTGCACAGGCTAAAAGCACTTTCCACTTACTCGTGCCGGGTAGCCAGATTCGTGACCGAGATTGCCCGCGTGGAAAACGGCATTGCTTGTTAACGCGTGCAAACGCGATGCAAACGGCACGTGGGAACGACGCGTACGAAAAGGATCTCGGCTGAGGATCGATATGGATCGATTGACTATTGTCGATCGATCGCGATACTCGATTTTATTCTGAACTGCGGTAAAGTAAAGAAATGAACGAAAGGGTCGATGAAATTTTATTCGCGTTATCCACGTTAGTTTACGGATCGTTGTTGAAAACTTTGAAATTTTTGTTAAGTTAAACATTAATCTCGAAGGATTCGTTTTATCCTTAAGTTGTTCAACGATGAGCGGCATTTTGTTTCGCGATAAAACGAAAAATCTAACGTTGTACACACGGAAGAATTATTGAATCAGTAAATTTTTATTTATATCGGGGAATTTGTTATTTTCGACATAAAGAAGCGTTTTTTAAAAAAATTCTCGAAATCACAAATATAAATCCTCGTTGAATATTTTTCAATCATCCTCGAATACTCGAAGGACCACATATCGTCCCTAAATATGCAAATATCCTTGACCTAACGATATTTTATCGTTATTATTATCATTATCATCGTCATCATTGTTATTAGGATATATCCGCGCATGAATTTTTTATCACGAATCTACGCTATCATATTCTCCTCTCCTTCCTTATCAATTCAGTTGCATCTTTCACGAGAAATCGCGTATAAATTTCACCCCCAAATTGGAATCGTATAAACGATACGCTCGATCGACTCGTTCCCAAGTTCAATTACTCGTAGTAACGTGAATCGTTTAGGCGTGGCGCGCAACGTTGACGCGTTATTTCTGGGGCGCAATTATAATCGGGACGCGTGGACAGGAGGGGCGATACGGGTGGGATTTTGTAGAACGTTAGGGCCGTGAATCGGCCCGCAACCGTATAATTTGCTTCGATTTTCGGCGGATCGATTTTGAGCAGCTACTGTTTCGCTACAGGCGGATATCTTTTGTGCCGCGGTTTTGTGGGCGTACACTTCCCCCTGGGCTAAAACGCCAAATGGTAACAACGATACGCGGAATCGAATGCGGAATGGGAAACGGGGATTTGTTTTGTGCTCTCTGGTTTTTCGGCTACGCGAACGGGGGAAAAAAAAAAGAAGAAAGAAAGAAACGATACAGAGAGTAGTTACAGAGAGGACGAAAACCGTCGTCCGTTTCTCCTTGTTACAAAGCTAACTCTGAAACTCTGTGAAAGAAAATCGAGATAAAAATCTCTGTCGACCGTCGTATATCTGTTCCTCTATACGCTTTTTCCATCGTTCGCCCACGAAAAGATGCAAGTGTACTATATATATATATATATGTACGCTCGAAACGTTTGGAAAAACGTTTGCACAAATATTTATCCACCGATACACGCGGTGCACACGCACGCACGGTGTGGGGAGATACGCGACAAATGAAATTTTTTTTCAAGTTGAAAGGATTAATATTAGCTCATGAGAGAAATTAAATATTAGTGGAAAGGTCTCTAGTAATCGAGAAACAAAGGACAGAGAAAAAAAAAAAGAAATTGTTCACAATTAATTATCATGCATCGCGCGGGCATTGCGTATCAAGAGAGAATGCAAACTCTCATCGTCAAAGAACAAACGAGATTATCCAACCAACGGGGGCAGAGTAGGATCGAAACGAAGCAATTACGACGCTGAAACGTCATCATCCCCCTACCGGACGCGGTTCCTCCTTTGGATACGATAGAGGAGAGAGAAGAGAGAGAGAGAGAGAGAGCGAGTTTAAACTCGGCTTAACTCCTCACACTGTCTTGGAAAAATTGCGGGCGTCTGGTGCACGCGTAATACGCGTAACGCAAGTCGCCAGCAACGAGTATCGTACGAGCATCTAGCACGAGGCGTAGGAGGTTTGGCGTAAGCGGTAAGCTTTACCTCATTTCTGGCAATTACTGGGGATGCCAGAATCCGCCGCAAGAATCAAGCCGCACCGGCCTCGCGTACGTGTGTAGGTGAGCGCGCGTGCAACCGTGTCGTATGGCGTCCGTTTACGCGAGCAACCCCTCTGCGTGTGCGCGCGCTCAATCACTCGTTGTATCCATCCCTCGAGCCGATACACACGCTCGAGCCAGCCGAGTACGTATACACGCACGGGAGGGGTCGAATCGGTGGACGTACGGTGTCACGGAAGCCCGACTCCGAGTCCACCTCCTCTCCCCCCTGCGAATTAACCCCACCTAAAACCCTTAAAGGGAGCGGGGTGACGCGTTTCCAGTGGCGGTTGAGCACCACTGCCTCGCCATGTTCCCGGATCGAAAGCCCGATTGGCTCGAAATTCCACGAACAGCGACGGGGATTCGTGGGGCCTGGCCACGCCTCGTACGCCAACTCCTGGACCACCTCTTCCCATCAAACCGTTCTTGGTACTTGGTAGTTGTGCGCTACAACAAAGGCCACCCCGCTGCTCGGCCAACCGACTAGTCCTCGTTGGCACGACGCACGCTCAACAACACTTCCACCTTAGCCGGCCGCAATTTTATTTCACCTCTCACCCGCCGCCGCCGCCGCCGCTTTCCTCCACGAGTTATCGTTAACACGCCGCACGGGCCCGATCGTCGCCTCGACCCGTCGTCTCTCGTTCCATCCATCCGTTCTTTCCAACACGGCTGAGAATAGGATGGGGCACGGTTTCTCCATCGGTTAGGTTTTATTGGGACCCGAGTGAATCGCCGCTGCGATTGTTCGACACGCAGGATCGGAGGGAGAAGGCTCGCGTGAAATGTTATCGAGAATTTTGTCGCCGAATCGTTGGACGTAGAGTGGAAGAGGAGGAGGAGGAGGAGGAGGAGGAGGAGGAAATTGATCGTCGTGGAGTGTGGAAGAAATTGGAGCGAAAGAATTTTTAACGATATGTGTCGTTGTGCGGCAAGGACGAGGCACGAGAGGTGTACCGAATCAATGGTATCGTCGTAGAGTAGTTGTGTGTACATTGTAATCCACGATAAATAAACAGACTCGATTTTATTACTCGACGACGTAAACGCTACGCGTACGAAAACAGTTGAGGTGGTGTTGGATATATACAATTCTTAGTAATCCAAGTGTAATCGTCTCGCAACATACGGATAGAAGACAGAATATAACCGCGCGGTGGGACGATCACAGCCTTCGCAAAATGGATTTTGCGATTCACGTGTCTTGGACAGTCGTTTCGTGCATCGATTAAGCGGTAGTGTGTTCACGAGGGATCTTACTGTTCTTTCTTCGCGAGACGTCCTTTCGTCGGAAAGGATAAGCGATAGAATAAACGATAATCCTATTAATCCGGGATCACGCTTTTGGATTTTCTTTCACAATGGATTCCCAACAACTCGTCGATACTGCGTCGCAAAACAGCCAGGACATCGTCCTGCCGAAACCGGCGAGCAGCACACCCAGGCACAGCATCGACGCGATCCTCGGACTGGCGAACAATAAAAGGAGTCATCAGGAAATGGAGGATAACGGTCGAGACGCGCAGGAAAACACAGGTAACACGGGTCTTATCATGTTTATTCTCATCCATCGATTCATCGATGGATCGAGTATAATAGGGAGTTGAAGTGAAGATCGCGTAACAAATATACGTTTTTGAATTTCAATTTTTTAAATAGTTCGAATGTGACGACCGAGCGGAAATTCAATTATGAAATTTTTTCAATTGCTTTTTAAATCAATCAGTGTTTTAATTCAACTTTTAATGCGTTACGAAGAGAGAGAGAGAGAGAGAGAGAGAGAGAGAGAGAGAGAGAGAGG